AATACAGAATGCCAAAACCCAAATGTATTAATCATCTTTTTTTTTTTCCTTTTTTTTTTTTTCTGATCCCTTTCACCTATCTTTTTGGGGAGATTCAGAAATGGCTATGGGCAACTCAGTAATTCTTCCTTCATAAATATTAGATGCACGCCAAGCATGAATATTTGAGTAGCTAACTCTGACTTAGGTGAAACCAATTGCTAATGGCAATTCATTTTTCCTTAGTGACATTCCACCAATAACAAGCATGAGGGGGACAGGATGATGCAATTTGGAGTTGGACGGCAAAAGGAAAAGAAGGTACCAGCTGGGAACAAAGATGCTGTATTGATCAGGCCGTCAGGTTGAGCTCAGGGCTGTGTGTGCTCCCTTACCTTGCAGGGAGTTTTAGCAGAGACACTCATGCTCAGCAGGTGTGTGCGTATCCTTAGGAACTAAATACTGAAAAAAAGTTTTAAATGCTTCTGACCGATTTTTATTATGTCATTGAGCTGCCGGCTCTTGACGTACCGTGCCCTGTGTGATGTTCCACGGCTGATCCCGCTACCCTGGGAACAAGGAGGTGGTTCTCTGACATCCTGCACCCAGGATGCACCACATCCCCACTGGCCAAACTGGGGCTTCCCTGGAAAAGGGCAGTTGGGGTTCTCTCAACCCAGCCCCAGGTCCCCGGCACATTCCCTTTCTCTCACTGACTATCACAGCCCTGTGCTTACAGCGCAACTCAGACTAAGCAGATGTTCCAGGGGAAAACACTGTCATTTTTGTCCTTAACAGGCTGTTTTTCAAGCCAGATGAACTCACCCTGCTGCAAAGGACGTGCTGAAACAGTGACTGGCAGTGGCGGGTGGAAACGGGGCTGCCCCTTTTGGTGATATTGGGTTAGCTATAAAACTGTATCTTTTGATTTTTAATAAAAAATAGAAAATGTGACGTTATGCCTGAGGCATAGAAAAGAAATGTAGTGTGTCTGGCCCTGGGGAATAGCAATGAGTAATCAGATGTGACCAGATCAAACCTCAGCTGAAGTTCATGTTCGTGTTTACATGGCCCAAGAGACACCAGCATGTATCTATCATTTTATATTGGTCTCAAATTTACCATTACTGGATGAATACTTTATAATCCATTGGTAATACTTGCACACATTGGTCTATTTTAGCATGCGGCTCCCCTTGCATGTATTTTGCCCCAGGAAAAGATGCTGTTAGATGTTGCTGAAATCACCATGGCCACCACACGCTGTTTTGCCAGGGTTTCTCCCCGGTCGGCCGGTGCCGGGGTGGCACTGGTGGTGGTTCGGGCGGGGGAGGTACTCTGGTCTTGTACCAGGGCCTCGCCACCAGCCGTGCCAGTCTGTGCCTTGCAGAGGGTGCCTGGGGAGGGCCCAGACTGGCCGGCCGGTGGGCATTGGCCTTGGCCACCACAAGCCGAGCCTGGCCAGCCAAGCTGCCATTGCAGTGCAGGGAAGGGCCTCTTCTCCCTCAGATAGCCCTGTCATGGCTCAGGCGCTAGAAACGCTCGGTGGGTCCTGCACGGCGCTCACCAGGGGAGGGTGGTTTCTGAGGCAGCAGAGCGGCCATTCCAGGGCCAAATGGCGAGTGCTGTGTTTGTGGTGAAGCTGTTTGCTGCAATGAACAGGCATTTCCCAGCTTTTCAGTACAGCTGTGCCTGTGACAGTGGCAGAGGAGTGGTGCAGTCAGGCTTGTCATGGCCCCACTGTGTGTGCCCAAAATGGGCATATCCATGTGCTCCAGAGTAAGCCTTCCTGGCCCTGCCAGGAACAAGAAATGCTGGCCCCACACACATCTTGGTCCTGACAGAGCTCCGTCTGGTCTGTTCGCACCATCTTTAATTCCTGCAGAATTCTCCTGTCCTAAACTAGTCCATGTAGAAATGGCTGAGGGCTGCGACGATGTGTAAAACACTGTCCCCATCCCTACTGAGGAGCTCCCTACCTGCAGGGACCAAAGAACAGTGAGAGAGGAGACTGCCCTTTCCCTTGCCCTGTCTCCCCTTGGATGGGAGGGCCCCCCCCGAGCAGCCTGGGCAAATGTCCCCCACACTGAAACCGCCGACGCAGCGCTCAGGCCCCCGCTCCCTCCGCCCGAGAGAGCAGCAGTGCCATCCCCGGTACAGAGAACACTCCTTCAGTCTGCAAAAGCAAAGAAAGAACTGCACGCTGAAAGAAAATCCTGCTTTGTTTACAGGTTGCTTTTATTTACAAATATACTGAAGTGTAATCTCTCTCTTTTTTTTTTTCTTTTTCTGTTTTTGTTTAGTGTGAGTGTGTGTGCACACATGTGCACGTGGGAAGGAGCATAATGTATGAGAAACTCATGTATCTTAGCTGCCAGGCAATGGTGGCAGGAAAAAATGCAGTGAAATGAAATTTAAAAACACTAATAAATAATTTAACAATGACAAGTAATTAAATTAAAAAAAAAAAAAAAATCCGATCTACATACATTATGGTGGCTTGTTACCAACACGGGGGAAAGAAGCAGAGAATCTACGGTGAGAGGCAGCTGGTTAAGTATGAGAGAGCGTAGTCATATTTTTTTACAAGTTAAACAAATTGCAACAGACAGCTACAAAATACTACATTTCGATAACATAAATACAGAATATATAAATATACAAGTAATACAGCCATACATAGCTAAAAAATAGGGTGTTCACTTAAAAACAGAGTTCCCAATGCAAAGTATCTGGCAGTCCCTCCACAGTCTCTGCTGAGCAGAAACGGGGTGTGCAGCACCGAGGGGACCCGGCTGCGTCCTTCAGGAGGGCAAATATAATCAGTGTACTCAGAGAGGCCCCAAATGAGCAAGACCGTGCTTAAATCCCACCAGAGCCAAAAGACTTCAAGTACCTGCCAGGAGGCAAGCAATGCCCCCTAGAAACTCCCGACCAGGGCAAACAGGTGGCTGGAGCTCTGGCTGGGCTGCTGTTAAATAAAAAAAAAAAAAAAATCCGATCTACATACATTATGGTGGCTTGTTACCAACACGGGGGAAAGAAGCAGAGAATCTACGGTGAGAGGCAGCTGGTTAAGTATGAGAGAGCGTAGTCATATTTTTTTACAAGTTAAACAAATTGCAACAGACAGCTACAAAATACTACATTTCGATAACATAAATACAGAATATATAAATATACAAGTAATACAGCCATACATAGCTAAAAAATAGGGTGTTCACTTAAAAACAGAGTTCCCAATGCAAAGTATCTGGCAGTCCCTCCACAGTCTCTGCTGAGCAGAAACGGGGTGTGCAGCACCGAGGGGACCCGGCTGCGTCCTTCAGGAGGGCAAATATAATCAGTGTACTCAGAGAGGCCCCAAATGAGCAAGACCGTGCTTAAATCCCACCAGAGCCAAAAGACTTCAAGTACCTGCCAGGAGGCAAGCAATGCCCCCTAGAAACTCCCGACCAGGGCAAACAGGTGGCTGGAGCTCTGGCTGGGCTGCTGTGGGCACAGTGGTCACTGGCCTGTGCCAGTGGGGTGAGGAGGGCGGCTGGAGATGGACCTGCACACAGGGAGCAGCTGATGCTCAGAAACACCATGGGTACCACGGCTCCAGCTCCCACGGCTTTGATGTGCTCCAGTCGCCTCTCTGGCCAAGCACCTGGCTTGAAAGACCCTTTCCCTTCCTCCTGGATTCTGTTGTTAATTTCTAGTGACGTTTAGGGACAACCAGAATTATTATGACACAGTTCAGAGAGGGGGCCTCGCAAACGCCAGCTTGCAGGATCCCTAGCAGCATCATGGAGCCAGGTTCCTTGGGGCACCTGTGGCGGTGGCTTGGGACATACTTCTGATCCTTAAGGAAAGGGAGGGAGTCCTGAGCACAGTAGGAAGAGGTAAGTGGGTTCACATCATCCCTGGAAGGTTTGTCAGCATGAAGGATCTCCCCATGTAATGACAGCGCAGCAAGGTGGCTGATTGCTGCTGACAGAGGAGGCACAACCCTTCAAAGGACCGAGGAATATTCACCCGACTTGTGCGGGGTGGGTCTGCAGAATCCCCCCAATCAGCCGTGGTGAGACCCACCGAGTCACATCTCAGGTTAGCAGCAACTGGGCCGAGTGATCTGGGTGGTTTTGATGACAGAGTTTAAAGAAAAGGAGATCAAGATGCCTGGGGTGGTGTTTCAATCTCAGTGATTGCAACCACCACACTTTACTGACAGCAACATAATTGTCATCCCTGTTGTGACTGTGACACACATTCCCCACCAGCCCCAACTGGTTCTGATTCAGGGTTTACCCCACAGGGCTGTGGTAAACGGGAGGCTGGGATCAGCAGCGCATGGCAGGAATCGTGCCCGACAGCCAGCCCAGCCCAGCGCCCGGCAGCGGGACGAGGAACCACCCCTGAACCCAGGAAATCGCCATGGGCCACCCTCAAAAAGCGGGTGACTGCCGAGGAAAGACCTCTCTGAGGAAGCCGGTACCGAGTATGTTCATCCTGATCTCACAGTCATCTTTTTTAAAGATTACTGAGCAAACACTGAAACCTAATCAATCATCTTTTACTTAATTGCATCTTGTCACCACTTTAGCTTAACATGTATTCCTTGCTTAGCCAAAACAACATGATTGAAACACTGTGAAGAGCTCACTTGATGAATTTATATGAGGGGTTAATTTCCTAGGGAAAATGATCACTGTAAGGTGCATGTAATAAACTGCTGTCATGACCTCTAGCCTTCAAGCTCCCATATGTGCAATCATTGTTTGTGGTTTCCGTGGAAGTGCCAGACGCTAAGAATTTTTGGCAGGAGTTTATCAATTTGACTCAGTGTAAGATATTACTGTGATATGGCCCATTAAACATTTTACTTTCACCTGATCGGTGCCATTTCCCTTGACAATAGAAGAGTAAAGCAGAAATCAAAAAGGTCAGAGGTTGCTATAGAATCTTTTACTGCGGGTCCCAGGTTAAAACCACAATGATCACACTCCAGTAGGATAATTCATTCCACACAAAAAAAGTGACATTTATTTTGCTTTAATGAACTTTGGCCTTTGCCAGATATCTCGAGTCCGTTGGAAATCATTGGCTATGCATTCCTTCCCTCCACCAGCAGCCGCCCACGGTGGCATAGGAGACGTTACGCATGCCAGGGGCCTGGCTGCGTCCTGTGCGTGGCACCAGAGATGGCAGAACACGGGGAACAAACAGCTAAGGCATCATCATACAACATACTGAGGGAAGAGGAGAGATGGTATGTACAAGCAATGAAAAGAAGAGGGGGAAAAAAAAAAAAAGTGGCAGTCATCAAAAAAAAATCAGCAAAAGATTATGGTTACTTCAGCTGTAAAATGGGATATCTGATTCTCTCCTTGGAAATGGATTGTTTTTTCAACATCCAGCCCAGAAGCAGAGGTAGAGTTGGGACAAGGCAGTTCTCCAAACTGTAGGTCACATTATAGTTCTCCTATAAGTCCCTGTAAACACTAAAAACGCCATTTTGATCCTGCCAGTAATGAGGGATGAAGCAAGGTTGTGCCTATATGTAGTCTATAAACCTGGTACGTTTGAGATGGTAAAGATGCTTTTCTATGACTCTAAAGTAGCACAGCAGAAGGGTGGGGAGGAAAACTTGATGAATCCATTGAGATTGGAGGTGACAAATGTTTATAATGTGCCATATAAAACCTGCTTGCCTTCTGACCTGCAAGCAGTGAGGATCACCTGAGTTCTTTATAGATGCTTGCTATCATGCAGAGAGAAAGGAAATTGTTATTTATTTTGATACACAAGAAAAAGGAAAAATATTTGAGGGGGATGGATAAGATAAGAAAATTCTTCCAATTTCAAAACATATCCAGGGGCTCACAACCCTCAATGGAAAATCCATATCCCTGTCAGACAGCGAGGGAACTGTCTCCGGCAAAAGCAGGCAGGTGAGATGGACCCATCTCCCTGGGCAGGGTGGCCCGTCAGCAAGGGAGGCAATGGGACCTGCAGGGAGGGCAGTGTCACCCTGGATCCTGACGGATACCTGGTCCCATGATGGGTGCAGGGTCATGTGTGGGCAGAGGAGGGTCTGCCACCTCCCAGCAGCAGGGTTTGCCTTGGGCCTGCACTTCGCTCTCCTGCCTTGCAACACACGGAGCCTTCTACCCCCGTGCTTTCCTTGCCTCCACAGGGTGACAGTGCATGCACTTATCTGGAGAGAAAACTCTGCTTTCTCAAGAAACCTCTAACACTCTTGGTCCATGTTTCCATGCCAGGGAAGAACGTGATTTTACTTTTTCCCTTGGACCTATCATATGATCCTTGCCATCCACCCCTCTGGGACACACAGAGGACCTTTCTCCATCAGCAAAGGGGTGGGCAGCTGCCCGTAGGGGTTCCCAGCAGGACCCCTCACCCCGCCCGTGGTGTCCCTGGTGCTGCGGGTCCCCATGATGGGCATCCCCGGAGTCCCCCGGGCATCTCCTGTAGATGGTGCCCAGGCCCATAGGAGATGCTGCTGCGCTGGCCTGGGACGAGTCCTTAGCCTAGAGGAGTCAGATTAACCAACGCTTTGGACTTGTTTTCAGCTATTATGGTCAATATATTAAAGGTATTTATTTAAGAAAGTGCCTATCCTGCCAATCTTTCCCCATGAGCTCTATTTTGAACACACCCTATAATTACTGATATTACCCTGGCAAATTTTCCACATGAAGTTTTCTCCACTAAGAGCCATGACCATACTTGTCTGCCTCCCCACATTATAATTATCACCAGGCAATATTTATAACTATACTATTATTATTTATGATATTTTATGCCCTACAAAAACCTATATGACATGCTCAAACTTCAGCATCTGAGACATTCAGACTTGAGCCGGGACATTCCCTTCAATTTGTGTCCTTGTTCTTACATCCGCACTAATAGGTTAGTTGGAGCATTTATTTTAAATACAGGAGTCCTGTCAGTGTGAAACCTGCAGGACTGGGGTTAGACTCCAGCTCAACATATCTAAGCCTGCCACTGTGATCTCTTTCATATTTTTTTTCCTGTGTTGGAGCACATTTCAGGATTTCTGATGGTTCAGGCTAGAACTGTGTATCATAGATTCTTGCTGAGGCGAGATAATTAACTAAAGGAGTGCTTAATTATTCCAGATGGACAATGGAGCACAGCACATTTATGCCTCATGCAAAACACAAATAAACAGAACAGAACGAACAACACATGTTTGCCAGTCATGGTCTAGACTTGAAATTTGGCACCGCAATACTTGCAAACAAATGTAAAGGCTTTATTCTCACACTTTAAAAAAAAAAAATTAAATAAAACTGTCTTGTAAGCACCTTTAGCTTTAATTATTTAAGATCAATACTAACCTAAATGCCTCTGTCCCTAACATGCATCTCCTCTCCAGGGTCATAGACCTTTCTTATCATGAAATCACTGGTTTTCTCCACAAATATTACTGTTAACCAGTTTCCTCAGTATCATATGCATAAGGGCTATAAACTAATGAGCAGATCTAGGTTATGTAGAAAAAGTGTAGAAAGGAAACAAATGTTGAACGTCACATTTACATTAACTTCTCACAGTTCAAATGGCAATTTATCCACAACATAGTATGAATCATGCAGTAAGAAAAGGGAGGAATCTCCAGTTTCTTTGATTTATTTGTCATATGGTCGACTGATGTCAGTATCAGTGGCTTTAAAAAAAAAAAGTTTAAACATCCAAAAGAAAGGAAGAGAGAAAGGAGGAAAAGGTCTAGCTTTCCGCAAATTCCATTTGCTTTACAACGATGAGCTCAAACCAAACCAAACCAAAGGCTGCTGACGAGCAGGGTCTTCTGTTCCTTCTGTGCTGGTCTCGTGGTCTGGTGCAAGCTGGGAATCAAGGGTGGGGACTGGTGGATGCATTTTGTTTATATATATGTATGTATGCAGGTAGGTATTAATATATATATACATACATACACATATATGCACTCAGATACAGTCTTCCTAAAAATGCTCTTTGCAGTCCAGAGGCAGCAGAAGTCACTGTGAAGAAAGAGCTGGGCAACATATGGCTGTAGAGTCTGCACTGGAAAAAGTCACTGGCTAAATACACGCCGGCTGTTTGTTTTCCTTTATTTTCATGAGGCGAAATAGGAGCTCTGCATAGAGTACAGCCTGTCAATGGGGTTTCCTACTCTAGCCTGCATGGAGTTAACTTCGGAAGAGGCAAGAAAACAGTCGCTCAAGCTAGTTAAAGAGGTATCACTGTCGATATCATGAAAAATGGAGTCGTTTCCTGCAAATGAAATGTATACATTAAGCTGGATTCTGTGCAGCCAGAGGAGGACACAGTACATACGGATGCTCATTAGTTGCACGCTGCAGCAAACGGGAACGCTCCCAGTTTTGTTTTAACCCATTAACGCAATTCCTCTCTAAGGGTCTGGCCTACAGCGCTGACCCGCAGAGCTGGGCTGGCAGCGGTGCCCCCGACCCGCCAGCACTTCATTTCTGCTTCCGTCAGCAGCACAGAGAGCCTCGGCTGAGGAGGGCAGCAAAGGGTGCTGGGGAGGACGGGGGCCCTGGCTCTCGGCATCCTCCAGCATCGGCAGGGACACTGGGGCCACTGAGGGAGGTGGGAACAGACACCCAGTGCCTGTGACAGGGAAAGGCCATAACCAGTGACACTCTTCATTTACAACAAGGTAGCAGATAGTTCTACGAATGCAATGGGACCCAGAAGGAGACCCCATTTCCCTGACCCCAAGTGAGCTACAGTTGTAAACGTGCTTTCATTTCAGAAAATTCCACTCTTTTTGGGCTGGTTTGGAGCAGCTCCTTTTATTTCCCTCAATAGCTTAGGTTTCAGCTTACTGCAACTCTCAAGGTACCAGAAAGAGCTCTAGCTCAAGTTCTGTGAGCACTAAAATGTGTTAGTTGGGCTCTTTTTCCTCACGCACTCATTGGAAGCAGCTTTGTGCTGTCCCTGGGGCACACAACCTGCCCCCCAAGAGCTGTGCTCAGAAAGCCAAGCACACCATTTGCAACAAAATCACCAGCCACCTCACGCTCATTTGTGCTTCGGATGTCCTCGGCTCCTTACAGGATTTTCCAAGTTGCCCAGTGTGCGCCCTGGACTCGTCTCAGTAGGAAAGCAATCAGCCAGACGCCGGGCAGGGCTCTGCTGGCCCGAGCAGCCGTGCTCCATGGCCACGGGCTCCCGGTCCTCGGCAGCGCAGTGCTCCCGCTCGGCAGGAACCAGCCCGGCCCAACGGGCCCTCCTGGGCTGCAGCACTGCCAGCAACCACAGCCTGAGAAATCCTCTGAAACTGTGTTTAAATGCCACACTGCAACTGTCCGGAATCAATTATTAGGCATTTAACGCTCATGATGCGTTTGGTGTACCTATGCACTTGATGGTGCCTGGTCAGGAAATTCTGAAAGCAAACCATAAAAACTACATAGGAGAAATGTCTGGTGGAGACACATCTCTTAGTAGCTCAAGAGCTGTTCTTTAACAAACTCAAGCATGCAATCTGAGGGATCTTAAAGGGGTGCTTATTCATTTTGGAATGAATAGACTAATTCTCTTTATTAGACCACTTTTCAAGGCACTTTTTCCCCAAAGCTTCTAAGAAAAAGGAAAAACTTGTGAGGGAGCTAGAATTTGGTAATGTTTATTTTTCAATGTCTTGGATAGTGGTTTAAAAAAGTGGAGCTGGAGAGGTGATGTTGCTTGGTTTATCATTTATCAGAATTATACTGTCAAATAGTTCTGAAGGGCATCCAGAGCCTGGGAAGAGCTCTCTTCTACCCCCTTATGTGTACATGAAAATACACACACAAAACTGACTAGTACAAATTCCCTGGTGCAAATCCCAGAAAAAAATATTATAAAAGCAAGTATCTCTGCTGAACCCGTGGTGTGCACACCAGCACAGGAACCCTGCTATTGCTGGTGTGGCAGAACGACGCGTGCCTTACCATAAGGGTTCATGTGGTCGCCTGGCATTTGTGGTGGGGTAAGACCCTGCTGAAATGGGTCTGTGCCATAACTGCTTTGATCCATTGCTACAATCTGCTGCTGTGGTGGTGCAAGTGGTGTGTAAGACGTCATCATCCCTTCCATGCGGTTGGACATCACTTCTGCAAAGCAAGCAGGAGGGCACAGTCACGGTGTGGGCACAGGGCGGCCGCAGACATCACCTCCCGTGGCAATACCCAATGCGGCTGGGTGTGCCCTGCCGGCCAGAGGAGCCTTCCAAATTTTGTCTGAGAGTACAGCCCTGAGCATTAAGTTGAAAGACTTGTAATTTCTGACTATATAATTTCTGGAGCTCCCGGATGCTGGACCGTATCTTCCCAAAGTCTGTCCTGTGTGTGACACAGCCCTATTACTCTCTAACTTGTGTTGGTACCAGTTTTTCCAGTTCTGCATGAAGAGGAGGATTTGAGGCTGCAAGGCCTTGGGAGCTGGAGAACCTCAAGAGCAGCAGGGCGAGCCCTGGTGCCTGTGTGCAGCCCCTGCCTGGGGTGCAGCCAGCCCTGGGGTGCAGGGAGGCTCCCCATGGGGGTGGCAGCAACACTGATGCCCTTAGGGGCAGCTGAACATGGTCCCCCTTTCCTCAGGAGAAAACAAACTGGAGGATCTTCCTGGAGCGAGCCTCCCGGAGATTCCCTGCAGGTAAAGTGCCTCTGCAGGGCACATTTCTTTCAGAAAGGAGGGAACAGCTTCCGTGTGAGCACCTCCAGGGCCTGGCCCATAGAAGAATGCCGGGCACTCTGTGTTTTTCCACTGATGATGGCACACATCACCCACAGACATGTGCATGCCCTTATGGCTCTACTTCAGACATTGTGTGGTAATGGCACTAACAGAAACCCTGCAGATTCTTTTCCCCTTATTTTGCCTTCATCACAAATCCCTACCTTGCCCTAGTCGCTGCGAGTTCTGTTGCTCTTGCTGCTGCTGATGCCTTCGTGCTAGTTTTTTCATCTGAATAAAAGAGGAAGAACAGAACAATCTCACGATTCTGAATACAACAATCTTCTTTCCTTACAAAGCTCTCTGCAAACATCAAATCAATGAATACAGACCATTTACATCCATGCACGCACCACTGTGGGTTCAGTTTCATTTCTAAGCTTAAACATTTCAGTTTCCAGTTCACATTTGCAGGCAAAATTTACTCCCAACCTCATGTTGCTTCAAGCACATGAACTTAGTCTGTGTTTGAAAGTTGCCTTTCTGGTGTGGATGCAGACAGCAGTGCATGCAAAATCTGTGCAGTTCTGCCTCTGGGATCTCTGGTACCCACTATATCCATAGAGTGTTGGAGGACAATTTGCGTTTTACTTTTGAGAACTTGACAAACAACCTACCTTTGCTCTTTGGTTCTGAAACCAGACCTGGACAACTCGCACGCTGAGTCCTGTTTCAGCTGCTAGTGTTTCTCTGACCTACAAGAGGAAATTTTTAAGGATGCAATTTTAAATATTTTTTTTTTAAAATAATCAGTTATGTTAGGAGGATTATGTTTGCACTTACAATAAAAACTGCATTTACAGAATTACTTTTAAAAATTTCCAGAAATAACACGTGGCTGGCCCTAAGCTGCGATGGGTACTTGGGTGAGCATCACCATGTGCAACCCCGGGTCCTGTGTAAACCCCGAGGCAGATGCTGCTGCCCCAGGAAGGGGCAGAGGGCTCTTGGAGGCCTGCCCTGGCACTGCCACCCCCGCAGCCTGGTGTCAGAGCTGACTTCAGGTCACCGGTGAAGCACCTACCTTCCTACAGGGCTTGGAAGATACTTCAAAGGATGCTTTGAATGCTCGTCTCTGCTGTGTAGTAAGTATTGTCCTTGGTCGTTTAGGTCTTCTTGGGTCCTTCCCATCATCGCTTCCTTTTCCTTGGGTTACTTGTCCTTTGGTGGGTTTTACATCTCCGTCTTCATCGTCACTTTTAACTGGTGAAAAATAAACAGAATATGAAATTGTACTTGTTCCACCAAGATAACAGAGTACCACTGCCTGCACCGCTACCACAGCACAACGGTGCCAACGCACAAAAATCACAAAAACATCTTAAAGTCTGTTTAGCTAAATACAGTGTAGATAGAATTGTAGAATCATAGAATTGTCTAGGTTGGAAGGGACCTTAAAGATCATCTAGTCCAACTATCAACCTAACTCTGAAAAAAAAAAAAAAAAAAAGTAAGAAATAAGCAATAAAAAAAAAAAATCCAACTGGATTTGACTCCATTCCCCACCACTCTCTGGGCCTAGCCCTCCAGCCAGTTTTTAACCCAGTGGAGAGTATACCCATCTAAGCCATGGGCAGCCAGTTTCTCCAGGAGGAAACTGTGGGAGACTGTATCAAAGGCCTTGCTAAAGTCCAGGTAAACAACATCCACAACCTTTCCTTCATCCAGCAAGCGGGTCACTTTGTCATAGAAGGAGATCAGGTTTGTCAAGCAGGACCTGCCTCTCATGAACCCGTGCTGGCTGGGCCTGATCACCTGGGTGTCCTTCATGCGCTGCATAATGGCACTCAGGATGGTCTGTTCCATGGCCTTCCCAGGCACCGAGGTCAGACTGACAGGCCTGGAGTTCCCCGGATCATCCTTCCCACCCTTCTTGTGGATGGGTGTCACATTTGCTAGATGCCAGTCAGCTGGGACCTCCCCAGTTTGCCAGGACTGCTGGTAAATGATGGAGAGTGGCTCCACAAGCACTTCCACCAGCTCCCTCAGTACCCTCAGGTGAATCCCATCTGGGCCCATAGACTTGTTTTTGTCTAGGTGCTGTAGCAGGTCCCTCACCGCTTCCCTTTGGATTACAGAGGCTTCATCTGCTCCCTGCCCTTATCTGCTGGCTCAGATTCCAGTTACTGTTCTGAATATTCTGAAGCTCTAGAGATAATATTAAATATAATCTTTGCCATCTCACTTCTGCATCCCACAGAAAACGTGACTATTCTTTCTTGGTGTATTTCAATGTGTCTATCTGTGCATGCACTGATTTCTCTTCCTTGGTAAATACATACAAATATATATGTGCTTGTGTAGACGAAATAGATTATCTGTATTTTCCACAGTTAAATTGTAACTATTCATACAAACTGGTGACATTACATGTCTTAGTATATTGTACTTGGAAATCCTAATTGCAGTGGCAAAGGTTGAACGCTAAATACTAATCCTGTTGTGAAAAACAACTTTTCAACTCAGCATATTTTATTTCAGCAGACTACTGATTTTTCTTCCAGAAAACATTAATACACTATTATAGGGATTTCAACATGAAGAAAACATACTGCAATTTCTATATACTCAAAGATTACGTTTGGAGAATTAACAAATTAGACTTTAATTCATTTTAGGGTCTGATTATTATGCATCTAGCAATCTAATCACCTTTTACTTTAATAAGCATCTTTTGCCTAATGATTAAAGAGAAGTTCAGTCATTTTAATAACCACGACATTATTAACTTTCCAGCATGCCATTTCTAAGGAAATGTTTGTGAGGATTAATATTGCTCATTGGAGAGTTACTGTTGTGTCCAGCGGATAAATATTTGATTGGGGAAGGACACACTCAGCCCATATGAAACCATTTGCTCTCACACAGGCATCTGCGAGATCTGTGTTTCCAGTGTATCAGACAACGGGAGACAAAACATCCCATTTAATTTGTCAACTCGTTTTTCAGGTTTGGGTTTGGCTAACAGGGAATAATGAGGGGGAAAAAAGCATCTTCAGGAGTAAGAAACCACCCCGTGTGCCAAGGGGAAATGAAATGGAAACCCAGGTTGGTTTGTGCTGCTGTGGCAGTTGCTGCTGATCACAAACTACAAACCCTGGTCTGAAGAAGAGCCCGTTGTGCCCAGAGCAGATCCCAAGGAGCCAGCGGGCAAACAGGAGCCGCGGGGAGCAGGGAGGCGGGAGGAGGATGCCATGCCCACGCAGCGGCGCAGGGACAGCCCCACAGCCTCCGCTTGCCAGAGCGGGTTTGTCTGGACATGGACAGATGGACAGATGGGAGGATGCTGGGGCTGGCGATGAGAATGACATGCTGCAGGGCAAGTAGGAAACTCACACACTTTGGACAAACTCACAAAGAGCCCAAACCCTGTGCCACAAGATTTACAGAGCAGCGCACTCAAGGTCCCGCACATACAGTATGGCAATAAATAACGTGCTGCTCTGAGAAAGGCCCCGGTCCCGCACGTCCCGCTGAGTCAGCACTGACCTTTGTCTTGCAGCATTCCTGACATGAAAATATAAATTTTAGCAACGTGGAGAATACGGCTCTCAGATTAGAGATTAAGGATAATTACTGCTCCTAGCTAAATTGGAATAATGCATTTTCCCATAAACCAGAGGCAAACATTCGTGTCATTTGTAGGCTTAATGGAATGGTAATTGTTGATTTTCTTAGACATTTTCTTGGGAAACAAGTGTGCTATTATGGTGCTGGTAGCAGTCTGTGTACACCCCGTCTCCAGTCCCGGGATCAGACAGGGCCCACTGGCAGCAGGAGGGTCCCGTCCCCCAGAACAGCCCAGAAGCCCGATGGCCACCCCTCACTGTGACACTGCTGGTCCTGGGGTTACGGACTGGAGACCCCAGCCCCAGCGTGGGAACGATCTGTCCTGGGCAGTGCCACCTCCCCAGCCCCGCACAGACAGACAGCAGATTTTGCTGACTCTCTTTTAAAACTTTTGAGGAAAGGGAGGGTTCTCCATCACCACGAAGAACTTGGGGAAGACACCCATCAACTGCTATTGGCTGTGAGGGCTCCACTGGCCTGTGCAGAAGGCAAAAGCCTTTATAAACACAAAAATATGTTAAAATTAACATAAAAATAGGTTAAGTGGGTGGGAGAATGCCTATGGAGACCAGGACACTGTGGATGAGGTCTCAGGTAACTGAAGGCAGTCTGGTGCACACTTTGTGATCCTACAGAAAAATAACCTTGGTGAAAACAAAAAGTTCTTGTCCCTTACTAAGCAGCAAGTTAAGGGAGGGAGTCAAGAAAGGGAGAACAGACTGCAAGTAGGGATTATTTCAGCTGTGGCTGCTGATTTGCATGGGTGGCGTGTGCATACAGATGAAGTGGATGTGCACATGGATATGGTTTTCTATAAGAAAGCTCTACAAACCCTTGCGGCTTTTCCAGTTGGAACAGCTGTGGGAAAAGCTCACCTGAGTCTGAGTCGTCTGGGCTGACTGAGCTCAGCAAGTCTTTCTCTTTTTCGTAGTCACTTTTGCAGAGCAGTTGCCCTTCCTTCAGGACGAACTCGTCGCCTTTCCTCAGCTGCCGCTCGCAGACACAGCAGCAGAAGCAGCTCAGGTGGTAGACGCACTCCAGGGCTCTCATGACGAACTCTGTCGGGGCAATCTTCTCCATGCAGCCACTGCACTTGGCAGCAAACAGCCTGGGAGGGAGAGAGGCAGAGGGAGCATCACATCACACACTGTGTGAATTTAAATACAGCAAATTCCTTGATTCAGATCAGCTCAGCTCACGCATTTGCTCCCTGGGAGACTCGCACCCTTAGTCTTGGAAACATCACAGGCAGGGAGTTTATTCAAATTGCAATCTCTTTGGTCTGGAGATCCCCAAATCACCTTTGCTGGATAAAAACAGTGCACTAAGATTTGTCCTTATCTCACTGTCTTGTTCCTCTTCAAAAAGAGAAACAAAAAAGGAGCTCTCAGAGTTTGGGTAACTTGCTCAAAACCAAAGTTATTTTAAAAAGTTAATTCATGCTTTGTTTCATACAGGCTCTCCGGTTTCAGTGTTTAAACCCTACTCTGAACAGATTCCACAAGTTTCCATTTTTGGTGTTGTCTGTCTCTGAGGGGGCTGACAGACGGACACGGGAACAAGCAGGAAAACTGAGTGCTATTGCTGAGAAGACAACACACACACACACGCGCAATCGCACACATGTAATTGATAAAGAGAGGAGTGAAATAACACGGCTTTTCTTTGGATGTTGAGTTATTCCAGAACAACCTGTCTCCGAAGGGAGGACTGTGCATTTTAAATGGTGTGAAACATCCTTTGGCAGAGATAGGCAGTGATACAATCTGCTAAATTACCACTATAATCACAGGCTCTAGAATATACACAGTATTCCAGACTAGTTCTTATTAAACCTTTACAAACCCCCCTCTTTCATCCATCATTAATTTTCTAAGATAAAGTTAGAATTATTTAGATTAATTTTATTTTGCTTTTCTAATGGCAACTGGGAATCTCCCTAAGTGAGCTTTTAGGAAGAGGTCTGCTGCAAATAAAGACAAATAGCTGAGTTACATCCCTGTATCTCTAGTGGGCTTGGTCATTTGAAATTCAGTGTCTTTTACAGCGATACATCAAAGTGCAAGGTGCATTAATATTTACATTTAGGCAAAGAAATTAACACAACTGCACCCATGTGCTCACAGGAAAAAAGGAAATTCTGCCTTTTAGGATGGGGTATGCTGATTGATTTATTTTTTTTTTCCATCCTCAAAATGATCCCCTTTTCTATAAAAGGTGATTGTCTTCAATTTCAGAAGCCACAGGCTGCGGTAGGTGCCGATTCCTCCAAAGCCTCCATTTTGTCTGAGCCCAGATGTGCAGTGAAATGGCAGCCCCCAGCCCCCAGCAAAGGGATGGAGGCAGGGACGGGCAGGGGGGGAGAAAATGTAAATACGTTTGCAAGCAGCATCCAAAAAAAGGCTGAGCGCCCGAGAACCTGTAGGGTTTCCCCATCTGCATCTTCCACCTAATAAATGAGATGGACACCATGAACCTTGGCACGGCCTCGGGTCCTGCTCTGCACAGGCCAGGCCGCGCAGGGAGCCTTTTGGGTACAGAATGGATTAAATCCATTACAGGGAAAGCGATGCCGTGCAGCACCCACTGCCACGGCCACTGAACAGCCATCGGTACCTCATACAGGCCATCGGGCTTGTCTGCAAGGGGTTTCTTCTGAAAAATGTAAACAGAACAAGAAAAATACGATTTTATGTTCTGACCAGTGAACATCACAGAAATATGACAAAACTTTGGTTTGCAAATTCCTGAGCAGGAAATATTTTTATCTATACACAATAACATATCTGACAAAATTAAAACTCAAAGGGAAATAAAGAGCAATCAGATTTTGAGCACGTTAAAAAGTTGTTCCTATTTAACTGCCTAAACCTATTTGACCCAGTTTAATGGAGCCCGTCCCGGGTGCGCAGTGGGGGCTGAGCAGACGGGCTGCGGGGGCACCGGCTCCCGGCCCCGCGGGGAAATCTTAAAAAAAGGCATTTCGCAGAGTGACTGCGACCCCGTCCCCCGCCCGCTGCCATCGGCGCCCCCGCCCTGCGGTGCCCGCCAGGATCCCCCGGTGGGGCCGGACCCGCACCCCCCGCCCCGGCCGGTCCCGCACCGGCGGTTCCCCGCAAAGCGACAACGCGGGACACCCCAAAACATCCCCCCCTCCGCGGGCTCCGGCCGGCGCTGGCAGCCCCCGACCCCCTGCTTTTCGGGGGCAGCGCCGGGGGGGGAGGCACCGGCCGCGGGCGGCAGGAGGCGGGTCCCCCGGGGAGGGGAGAACGGGGAACCCCCGGGGGCTGCGCGGTGCGGTGCGGGGCGGAGGGTGGGCTGCGCTGGCTCCCGCGCCCCGCACCGCGGGCACCCCCGGTGAGAGGGAAAACACCAACGTAACAGGGTTCACGTAAGCAGGGAAACATGCACCCCCCCATCCCACC